CAAGTCCAATTGCTTTGATATTACATATATAGGTACAACATATGGACCACTCTCAAATTTGTCCATTTCATGATGATACCTTCAATTCTCTAATTTTGATGAATATTTTTGTAATTTTATGTAAAAAGTGATATTTTCGACTTCTTGTTAAAAACTACAATCATTTATGATGAAAAATTATATTTTTGAATTCTTGTTGAAATGTGCATTGCTAACAGCGGAGCTATCTCAGCCGAGAGGCTGCTTGTTTAGACAGGTAGTCTTCAACATTGGCACAGAGGAAATAGCACTTTGGTAGTCAGGATAATGACTGTGGTAAAGTCAAACCAGTAAAGTAGAAACTAAATATAGCTTAGTTGGGGGGGGGGGATTATATACAGGTCACTTACCTGTGAAGTTCTGCTGCCGAAAGGTGGTCACCATGGGTATCTTTAACACAGGTTTGACTGACATGGGGTTTGAAATATGTTGTGATGTGAAAACTCTGTATCAGACAATTTAAAAAAACTACTGAAAATTGTCATACTGAAAACATTGCAGACACTGCTTTGTTCTAATGTATTGGTTTGTATACTTACAGGATCGTTGTTACCTCTGTCTTATGGGAGCCTTGCAGCTTGATTTGGGTGGTGCACCTGCTGGTCCAGCTGGTACTGGCAAAACTGAAACCACTAAAGATTTGGCAAAATCCCTGGCCAAGCAGTGTGTGGTATTCAACTGTTCTGATGGTCTGGACTATAAAATGATGGGCAGATTCTTCTCTGGTCTTGCCCAGTCTGGTGCCTGGTGTTGTTTTGATGAATTCAACCGTATTGACATTGAAGTGTTGTCTGTAATTGCACAACAGCTGATCACAATTAAAAATGCCAAGGCTGGAAAGGTAAGTAGATATTGTACATACTTAGATCCACCAATCCCAGAACTATCTCAGAGTATCCAAATAAATATTGTGCATTTCACTCACTGTCTCCAATGGTTTCATTTTTTTTAGCTGACACGCTTCATGTTTGAAGGACGTGAGATCAAGCTAGTAGCAAGTTGTGCTGCCTTTATCACTATGAATCCAGGTTATGCTGGACGTACTGAATTGCCTGATAACTTGAAAGCATTATTCCGACCTATTGCCATGATGGTACCTGATTATGGTAAGTGAATAATTAACATTTTCTGTAAGCTATTGTGGTTGCCATATTATAGTTTGTATTGAAAATAAATATCTCACCTATTTAATATCTCTACAGCATTGATTGCTGAGGTCATACTCTACTCTGAGGGCTTTGAGTCTTCCAGAAACCTGGCTCGTAAAATGGTACAGATGTACAAACTATGCAGTGAACAGTTATCACAACAGGACCATTATGACTTTGGTATGAGAGCTGTCAAGTCTGTCTTAGTGATGGCTGGGTCTTTAAAACGTGACAATCCAACACTGGGTGAAGATGTTGTACTTATTAGAGCTCTCAGAGACAGTAATCTGCCCAAGTTTTTAACTGATGACGCAGTTCTCTTTACGGTAAGCTTACAGGTTTAATCATACAAGATTATGAGTCACCGTAAAATGTACTTGAGCCATGATAGTTTCAAACATAGTTCAAGAAAGTAAATTAAAAACAGCAGATCTTTTAGAAATAGAGAAACACAGCCTACCTAAGTATGGAAGAATTCTTGTGACATAGATTTGACATAAATTTGTTTTGACGTTAGCCCTATTCAAATTAAAAATTGCATAATTTTTTTTTGTAGATAATGATTTATTTCTTTACCAATTGAATATAAAATATGTAGAATTGAAATGATTTTTATATACAGTCTTATTTGACACTGAAAGAAAAGGATTGAACTTGAAAAGATTTAGTTTACGCAATTTTTAGACAGGTTTTACTTCAACTGTGTAATACACTTGTTTGCAGGCCATATTATCAGATCTGTTTCCTGGTGTGGAAATTCCTGAACATGACTATGGTGTCTTACAAGAATACATTGAGTCAGCCATGAGAGATAAAGGATTACAAATTGTGGGTGCTATGGCAAGTAAAGTCATCCAATTGTATGAAACTATGATTGTACGCCATGGTGTGATGTTGGTTGGACCAACTGGAGGTGGAAAAACTACTGTGTACCAGGTATTTGTCTATTTTATTCTAATGATAAGTTTTTATAATTATCTATCGATTGATTGTCATGTTGTGATTTTAAGTCTGTATTGTTCGTGTTTATCATAGTTATCTCTTCGGGACTGATTTTTACGCTATTTTATGCTAATAAATTTAAGCTTATATAATTGTATGATTTATTGTATGTTTTTTTTTCTGAATTCTTAGACATTGAAAGATTGTTTGACCAATTTACATGCTGACGGGCATGAAGACCCATACTACCTTCCTGTAAGAACAGATGTCTTAAATCCTAAATCTATCACAATGGGTGAACTGTATGGGGAAATCAACAAACTTACTTTGGAATGGCAAGATGGTTTAATGGCATTGACTATCCGTAAACATGTGTCAGTAAGTATGGCTACATTGCTAATTTTTGGATCAGAATCAAAACAACCAATATGTACATACCAAACATATGGAATAAAGTTCAATGTTGTGTCTCAAAGTACAGCTGCCTTCAACAACTCACTCCACACTTTTATATTTGCCAGGATACAAGTGAAGACCATAAGTGGGTTGTCTGTGATGGACCTGTAGATGCTCTGTGGATTGAAAATATGAACACAGTACTGGATGATAATAAAATGTTATGTTTAGCTAACAGTGAGCGTATCAAATTAAACAATACAATCCACATGTTATTTGAAGTGCAGGACTTAGCAGTGGCTTCACCAGCAACAGTCAGTCGGTAAGTTCTATGTAATAAGTTTTGAGTCTCCTTAAACCTTAAATTTGTATTCTCTGCAAAACTTAATTTTATGCTCTTTCAAGTTAGAGTAATTTGGCTGATGTTCAAATTGAAAAGTTACAGTGTTCTCAAGTTATACTGATGAGAAGCTGACCTATTACGCAGTTAATTGTCAAAATTATTATTTGTATTCACTACAATAAATGCTGTCATGTTCTAATTCTGCTTTCCGAGTGCCTGCTAAACACAACTAACCTACATAGTATGTAGCAACTGAAGAGTCTGATGTGTATCTCAGACTATTCCTTATGAAAACTGTTTCACATACAGCAAGTCTCAGAAGTATTGGGGCAGCCAATTTGCAAACTCGCTAGCGAATTGGCTAACTGCTTGGGTCTTGACTAAACGGTTGGCTTTCGAATCTTGCTGGTGCCAGTTTGTGATTTGTGATGCGTCCACTCTTGGCGAGTCTATATTTCATTAGGGGACATAGAATTTTTTCACGCATCCTCTGGCTGGTACATGTCTGGATTCTCCTGAATGATTTGAGCCCGAAAATGGTCTCAGTCAGCTGGCGTGATAATATTATAAATGTGATTAATCCACTGATATTTATTATATAAGGTTAACCTTCTTGAATACTGCTTGAAACTAAAAACTTAAGACAATTTGAAAAATAGTTTCTTACTATTAAATCAGGGGAAAAATAACAAATCTTTCACACTCAAACGATCCGTTGGGGTAACATTAAGCAAACCGCTGAAAAATCGACCTCATTCGTCATTTTTGTGTGGACATGTAGAGCATAGAACACTTTCCCTGGAATATTTCAAAGCGAAATCGCCATCCAACTGTAAGACCATCGCTGATTAGCTCCTAAAGTATGAGGAATGTCCCCTACTGTTACATAGAGACGTCTTAAGTGGGCATGACCGCAAGACGGCGCAAGCGAGATTTGAAAGCCAATTGTTTAGTCAAAACCAAAGCAGTTAGCCAATTCGCTAGCGAGTTTGCAAATTGGCTGCCCCAATACTTCTGAGACTTGCTGTAAAATATTGGATTTTTTGAACTTTGTACATTGAATATAATCCTTTGTGCAATTTAGTGACTTGATGACACATAATACCATAGCTGTTGCATTTATTGCACTTCACATTTTACTAGACTTGTCAAATGTATAATTTTAGGCAATAAATGTGTATATAAATTATTTTCAACTATATTTAAAAGGTCTAGCATATGACAAACTTGTGCGATGTTTTTCAGTTTTTATTCTTTGTAGATAATAACTAAAACTGTTGTGCTGTGATGAGGCTAGAGTATGCATGATTTAAAAGAGTTCCCTGATTATAAACTATATATACTGCAAGTTTTTGTATTCTAATTTATTCATAATCACTTAAATCTCTTTTAGTTGTGGTATGGTGTATATTGATGCTGATGATCTAGGTTGGATGCCGTTTGTGCAAACTTGGATGACAAAACACAAGTCACAATTGACTGAAGAAACATATCAGTATATTATGGATTTGTTTATAAACTATGTTGAAGATGGTTTGAAATTTGTGAATAAGAAATTGACACAAGCTATGAGCCAGGTACGTGTTTACATGTGTTGAAAAAACATACTTTTGATGTTGTAAATGATTTTAAACAGCGTGCCTTATTTAATATGTGTTCTTGGTGTTTCTGTAGGTTGATATTGCCAAAGTGTCAGCTCTGTGTGATTTGCTAGATGCTGTTATATTTGGTAAAAAAGGCCCAGACTTGAAGATGGATCCTAACAAATTACATGCACTCATTTGCACTGGTTTCGTCTTCTGCTACATGTGGTGCATTGGAGGGAATATTACTGAGAATTGCTTTGATCAGTTTGATTCTTTTGTCCGCAACCAATTTGATGATAATGGTGATGCTAAGGTATGTTTTCTTTTCTGCATCTCACATTTGAATTGTCCAGTCATTTAGTTGCTATGTTTTAGCAAAATCTGTCATTTAAAAGTAGCAACTTGACTAATTTGAATAAATCATGTTTAAATAATTTAATTTATATATTTGTCAGAATTGTACAGGGCATATCCAGTGTAACATGTTGCCTTGTCTTTTAGCTTCCATCGGGAGGTGACTTATGGAGCTGCTACATGGATTTTGACACAAAACGTTTAGATATGTGGGAGAGAATTACTCCATCATTCAAGTATGATAAAGATATTCCATTCTTTGATATGCTGGTACCTACTACAGACACTGTCAGATATGGATATTTGATGGAGAAGTTTTTGAGTGTAAAACGATCAGTATTATTCACAGGTACAACCGGAGTAGGAAAGGTAAGCATATGTTACATAATGGATTAATGAATAATGAACTGTTTCATGCGCATTAATGTATTTTTATCATATATGCTTTTAAAAAATCTATTCAAGTTACAGGTAAAAAATTAAGATCATAAATTGGTGTTTCCACTGTTACTCACTAAATCATTACCTCTCAGAATTTAATATGTGCTCGACAAAGCCCATTTCAAAGTCTCTTCAATATTTGTGTAAATGTTTGACATTTTTTCTTTGTTTGTTCGTAGTCTGTCATTGCAAGGGCTTTATTGCTGAATGTTCAAGACAAGGAGGCCTATGTACCAGTCTTTGTCAACTTTTCAGCTCAAACAAGCAGTAATAGGACCCAGGAAATGATTGAAGGAAAACTGGAAAAGAGAAGAAAAAATATAATTGGTAAGTCACAGTTGTCAAAAGTAAATTATTCTTCACTGCATTTGCTCAATCAGTAGCTTATGCGCCTAGGTAACTGTCAGTAGTGTGTGTTTTACGGCATACAGTTAATACAATTGATAGTTTACTAACACTTTATTTAAAATAAATTTGCTTCTAATAAAGCAAATACAGTATTTTAGTTTTCAATGCAGTTTTTAAAACATATTGAAATGCTACTATATAAATACATAGTGCTTTGTTCTGGCATGGCATTTTTCACACTATATTTAAATAGACAAAGTTTAGACTGTAAATCAGCCACAGATGTTTCAATTGTAGAATTTAATCATCTTTTTTATATTCTTATTACCATAATAAGTTGCATGACAGATTTTTTAAAATTATTCTCACTAATATTTTTTTACATACTTTTCCAGGTGCTCCAGCCAATAAGCGTGTCATAATTTTTATTGACGATTTGAATATGCCTAAGTTGGACACCTATGGCTCCCAACCACCAATAGAACTGCTTCGTCAATTCCTTGACTTTGGCGGTTTCTATGACAGAGAAAAACTGTTTTGGAAAGAAGTACATGTAAGTACAATTGATCTTTTATCACTGATTTTACGTTTCTATGTTGCAAAATTACTAAAGGAGTACCGGTAAATGGTGCATCAAGTTACCGATACAATGTGACAAATTTGTTTCTTCTTCAATTGTCAGGATGTGTCTTTATCATCAGCATGTGCTCCACCAGGTGGTGGTCGTAATCCAGTAACACCACGTATGATCAGACACTTTGCTATGTTGTGTATACCAAGTGCATCAGAGTACAGTCTTAAACACATTTTCAAGGTAAGAGAATTAACTCTAACATAACTGCTATAGTAAGTTTACTAAAATGCACTAACACTTGTATATCCAGTATCAACTGTTGATCAAATCATATGAATGTTATTATATGTATGTAGTTTGTTTGATATTAGTTTTCTTGTTCTGGATTTTCATTGTCCTTGGTATGTATAACCATGGAGCTGCATAACCAACTTATCAGTAATCCCTTTATGTGTTTCAATAAACTATATAACCTTAAGCAAAATGATTAACATTCTATAGATTTTAAGAGCCATATTTATTAATGTACTTCTACTGTAAGACTGTTTTCATTATTTATTTTGTTTCACAGTCAATCATCACAGGTTTCTTACTTGAGTTCCCACAAAGTGTCAGAGCATGTGGAGAGTCTATTGTGGGTGCTGCAGTTGATATCTATGGACGTATGAGTACTGATCTGTTACCTACACCAGCCAAGTCACATTATGTCTTTAATCTCAGGGATCTCTCCAAGTGTGTCCAAGGTAAGGAGCCCTTTAGTTCATAACCTTTTTAGTTCATATTCAGACAAACTGATTACATTCAAGACTCACATAGAGATACAATTAGGTTATCATCTGATATCACTTGTTTGTTTGAGCTGGTAGATATGAGTGGTGTTGTAGGCTAGCATTATGGACAAACCAAACGAGTATCAATCAGCTCGACAAATAAGTGATATCAGGCGATAATCTTTTAATCACATGACCAACTGAGTTTTAAAAAGACAGTAGTCATAATTCATGGAACTATGTTTTCGAATAAATGCTAATTTATGCTAATTAGGCATCTAAACAGTTTGATTGATGCACATTATCAGTTATTGATATCATCATGTAAGTTGACACTACTGTGAATGATGGACTTATGGTAATGGGATAAATGTATTTATGATCTGATCTCAAATGGCAGATTGGTGAATAATGTCTCAAATATAACTGGTTTCATTCAAATTTGGAATGTCAACCCCATACACATTCGGTTATTGATGCTATTTATTTTAGGTACCACAACCATATCACTTTCTCAGTCAAATAGTTTTAAATGTCAAAGTTATTTGATCATATACTTTTGAAGAATGTCTTTCTGCTATAATGTTCTTGTTTTAGATTTCTCATTAATTATCGTGACAAATGTTTCCACTCAGGTATACTGCAGGGAGATCCAAGCAGCATTCGTGATGCAAACCAGATATACCGTTTATTCTGCCATGAATCACAGCGTGTATTCCATGATAGGTTAATCAATCATGAAGACAAAGGTTACTTCAATGAAATATTAGCAGAAATGGCTGGCAAATATTTTGGACAGCAGAATGTTGAACCAAACTCTTATGTTACCAATCCAATTATCTTTGGTGATTTCTTGAAGATGGGTGCAAGTGAAGAGGAAAAACTTTATGAAGATATTTCAGATATTAAAAAACTAAAGATTGTCTTGAATGACGTAAGTATTACAATCCATCATGCAGATGTTACTTTTTAAGGCAGGTGATCACTCCACTCACCTATCACTCAAGACCCAGAAGCACTTTCCCAATCCATACTATTTTTTAAGAGCACAGCTCCCCTAATAATAACTCACACATTATGAGAGCCATTTGTAGCTCCAGGCCATTTTCAAAAAGCAAGACCTGAATCTCTCGTCTCATTCTGGTTGAACAAAAATATGACACTCTGTGTATTTGAGTAAAAATGTTTGTTTTTGTTGTGGTTCATTAAGTATGTATATAACTTCCAGTAGTATGGCCATTTTTGATAACTAATTGTTTATCTGATTTGCTTGCATTGTTTTAGTATTTAGATGATTATAACATGAGTTCATCCAAAGAAATGAAACTGGTGTTCTTCTTGGATGCAATGGAACATGTCTCTAGGTAAGAGTTATCAAGTCCTTGTATAGACACATTAATAACACATTTGGCCTTTGACTGGTTCACAGAGGCATCAAATGGCAACTTCCTTATGCTGACCCAGTTTACATTGCTGCCTTTTGAGACTCGTTATTTCTAAGGCAATTTTAGCAAATTTGACTTCTAACTCAGTTTCCTGTCAAATCTGAAGTTTAATCTCTGGGAATGAAATGAATTAAACAACACTTTTTTATCATGCCATATGTTCAAATAAACAAATACACTATTCATCCATTTTTTTTTTTTACAGAATTGCACGTATGATTCGTCAAGAGAGGGGAAATGCATTACTGGTAGGTGTTGGTGGTACTGGTAAACAGTCTCTGACACGGCTTGCATCACACATATGTGGTTACAAGTGTTTTCAGATTGAACTAACTAGAGGATATGATTACAGTGCCTTCCATGATGATCTCAAGATTCTATATACTATGGCTGGTGTGAATGGTGACAATACAGTCTTCCTCTTTACAGATACACAGGTACATGTAGATAGAAATTACAACAATATGTTTTATTACATTGAAATCATTTCAACAATACTATACAGTGCACTAAAATATGAAGGCATTATTGTTATCTCAGTTTTATACAATTTCCTGAACCCTAGTCCTGTTTACACTATAACACTAACAATTAGGCAATTCTAGTTCTCTTCTGGGAAGTGTGGCTCTTTAACTCTTTGAATGCCATAATTCTTTTTTTCCCTGAAAAGTTTTGGTATTTTTCATGTATTTTTCTATATATGTATTTTTTTTAACCAAACGGACATAATTTTTTTATTGGCTAAAAATTTGAGCAAAGTTTTAGAAAAATTATGTGGTTTTAACATTTCTGAATGATTACAAAAGTAGACTTTTGCTTTCAAAGGGTTAATTTCTCATCAAAGTTCCTCCAAATGGTGACAGTTATTTTGTATATTTCTGTAACAGATTGTGGTTGAAGAGTTCCTAGAAGACATCAACAACATTCTTAATTCAGGTGAAGTCCCCAATTTATTTGAGCCTGATGAATATGAAAAGGTGATCATTGGTTGCAGACCAAAAGCCAAGGAAGCGGGCATACCTGAGGGAAATCGTGATGAGATATTCAATTTTTTTATCAGTCGTGTTAGAAGTAATCTGCATATTGTACTTTGTATGAGCCCTGTTGGTGATGCATTCCGAGCACGTTGTCGTATGTTCCCATCTCTTGTTAATTGCTGTACCATTGATTGGTTTACTGAGTGGCCAAGGTAAGAGAATATAAACAAAGCCATATTTATGAATTATTATTATTGGAAGCCATTTATGTATATTTTTTTATGTAACTGACAGAATATTCTTAATGACTATATCTAGAGAACCAGAAACTTGTCTACTGTGATAAAATTATTAGATTCCAGTTTGGCAAAAACAATATAGCTATTAGACAACTGGTGTCTTTTTCAATGCAGACTTAAATAAATCATTGGTTACTTTTTTATTTACAGAGAAGCCTTGTTATCGGTGTCAGAGTCGTTCTTTGAAGAAGTGGATTTGGGAGCAGAAGACTTGAAGGTATAAGACTTGCTGCAAAATGATTTCTTTTAAACAATGCAATTCTAGATTCATATATCTGACATACCAATCATGTTAAAACTTTATTATTATTTATTAAAATCAAACATGCTGCTTCTCTTGAACCATACAATGTGTCTTGGCCATGCGTTCGGTGGTCATTTTGTTTTAATGAACATTGTTCCATCCCATATCTCTGACATGCCATGACTGTTCATGTTCAAACTTTCTATATTTTTTAAACTTAATAACTCACGGGATCTATGTAATGTTTATTTATATTTTCACAGAAAAAAGTTGCTGACATGTGTGTAGAAATTCATACTAGTGTCAGTGATATGGCAGAGAAATTCTTTTCTGAATTGAGGCGTCGTTATTACACCACACCTACCAGCTACCTTGAACTTATCAACCTCTACTTAGCTATGCTGTCAGAGAAAAAGAAGTAAGCACATATCTTTTCAGTAACAATTGGCAACTATCTGAGACTGAGTAATAACTTTCATAATGTAGCATTATATTCATACAATATGTTTTGGTTTTTTATTAGTCTTTGTCAGCAAGAATGTGCGGAATTGGGGCTTATAACTTTGTGTCCCTGCCCATATTTTGACATGTACCAATTTCATTAAAACTTGGTACACATATGGTGCTTTCTTGATTTTCTGTTTCATGTACATTACAAAAAAGGGGGGGGGGGGTTGTTATTTGGGAGATTTGTGTAAAATATGTACCACAATACTGTTAAAATTTGTGTCAATTTGTCCAGATTATTACACTAGTCTTATCATAAAAACATTCATGACATTTTATTTAAGACTCTGTTTAATATTTTGTTCAATTGTTTGGTTGTTCATTTTTTTTGCAGACAACTTGTTGGTGCTCGTGACCGTGTTAAAAATGGACTCACAAAGCTTTTAGAGACGAATGATCTTGTAGCTGAGATGGAGATTACATTGACAGCCCTTAAACCTGAATTAGAAAAGAAGTCTAAGGATACCGAAGCCTTGATGGAAAGGTTAGCTGTTGATCAAGAAGAAGCTGACAAAGTAAGCAATTCACATTGATTATTGAATTCATAATTATAACCTTGTAGAAAAATACGTTAAAAGGAAAGTACCATACATTGATACAAGTTTAGAGTATTATATATATGTAGGTGAGGTGGTAAATGAATAAATGAATAAATGAATGAATGAATGAATGAATGAATAAATGACGAACATACGTTTGAATACAAGTGTCACCGAACATGGGTTTCTTCCTCAAAACACTTTCATTTTCTGGCTATAACCATGGGGACTGGTGTTTTGGGTTTTGTCCGTCTGTGTGTTTTGATGTCATTTCACCAATGTACATGGACTGAATATGTTCAAACAGACAAGTCATAATGGTCCTTTTTGAGCCACACAGGCAGTATATGTCAGGCCAAAACAGATTTTCCTGGTGAAAACTTTTTTAGCCCCAACGTTAGAAGTGTACAGTGTAGTTGTAAACTGTGTAAAAAGTTTGTCCACTCTGTAAGAGTTAGCACAGTGCTCGGTAACAGTAGAAGCTAGGTGAATTTTACCTCTGTTTTCTGTTTTATTTACAAGGTCCGTAAAGTTGTAATGGAAGACGAAGCAGTTGCAAGAGTAAAAGCTGAAGAGACCCAAGCAATTGCAGATGATGCACAGCGTGATTTAGATGAAGCCCTTCCTGCTTTGGAAGCTGCAAACAAAGCTTTAGATGCTTTAGATAAGAATGATATCTCTGAAATTAAAGCCTTTACAAAACCACCTGAAATGGTGCAAACTGTCATGGAAGCTGTGTGTATTATCCTTAGTTACAAGTATGTCTATAACCTTACTCTCAATACTACGATAGGTTCTATATAGATACCATTTGTTTTATGTGAGTGATTCAGAAAGCATATATAGAGTATAGTCACGAGAATTCTAACTAACTGCTATAGGTTTACAGGACAATGCTTATAAGCTTGTTACCGGGTAAACTGAAAAGTGAAGAATTGCAGCTTACCCAATTTCCATCAATAACAACCAAACGTAGACATCTCAGATCCTGTCTTGGCTTATTTATTCTGACATCACTATTTGTGCATTCAACTCTAATCCTAAATTATAGTAACTTGCACAAAACACGCTACGTGGCGTCATCACGATACAGTCCCCAGCATGGTTATATATTAAACAAATGATTAACATCTCGAAACTCTAGGTGGCGCTCACAATAAATTTTCAAAAAACTTCAAAAACAGTAAAATTGGTAAAGGCGACTTTGCATAATAATAGATAAATGATAGTTAAATTGTTTTGAGAGCGGTGATTATACCGTAGTGTATCATTTCTAATAATTGATATCAACAATTTCTAATAATTTTTAGCTTGAACTTGGGAGATGAGAGCGCACCCACTTTCTAGACTAAATTTAATAAAATTTCTTTAACATTATGAATAACATAGGAAATGTCTGTATTTTTGGGTGCTACCAAGGCAAACTTTTTGGGTACCAAGTAGTTTTTGATGCCTTTGTGAAATTTAAGCCCGATAGAGTATCATTTCACCATTGTGGCTATTAAAGCCTAGTTATATCTACTATGTATATTACTTCTGAGCCGCCTGGATTTAAATTTGATTATCACATCTCACAGTTGTTACACATACTGTGACTTCACATGACATTGAATAATATATTGTTTGCCAAGTACCGGTAGAACATAACATGGATGACATCACTGTACTGTGCAACAATACTGTGTATAAGAAATTGTATTGTACTGTACTGTACTGTCACTCTCCAGACCACTGTCACTTTGGCATTATTTTTGGCTCTGGCATCATCAATATTGTTGTCATGACCACCATCCCTCAACCTGGCAACACATTTTTTGGGTATTTTGTATGAAATTTATTTTCACTGATTTCTGATGAATGTAAAATATAGGAAAAAATCATTCCTTCAGTGAAATTAGCAAAAATTATTTCCAAGTGAAAATAAAGTATTTTACAGTATATCATTTTCTCCTAAACTCCATTACATTGTGTATGTATTAGCATTCCAAACTGCATCATATCCTAAAATCCTAAAATTCTTTTTTTCACAGAGCTGACTGGCCATCAGCAAAAGGTTTACTGGGAGAAGCAAACTTCTTGAAAAAACTTCAAGAATATGACAAAGAAAATATGCCAGATTCAACTTTAAGAAAACTCAAGAAGTACATAGAGAATCCAAAATTTCTACCTGAAATTGTGGAGAAGACATCCAAGGTATGCATTATTTACTATACTGTGGGTATAAATTCATTTTTAGCAAGTGGTATTATGACACTCATCATGTGATGATAACCAAACAACTTTTATTCTATAGTATCACTTGCTTTTGACTTTCTTTTCCCCCATAATAATTGGCATTTGTTTTTGTTTGGTGTTTAGGCTTGTAAATCAATGTGTATGTGGGTGAGAGCCATGGACTTGTTTGCCAGAGTATTTAGAACAGTACAACCTAAAAAAGAAAGGTAAGAAAAAATATAATGGTAGACTACATTGTTGATCTTGAATATTGCCATGAGTTAAATAATTCCACTCGAATACTTTTAATCTTGCATTCACAAAAATCTTTGCTTTGTACTGTAAAATCTGTATTAAAAGCCGCGGCTTCTAATAAAATGGTACAATGCAACAGAGGGGATGCGGCTTCTATTAGAGCGTCCTACACATATGAGAAATGGTGAATTTTTAGGTCTCAGTTGTTCAAAAAGAATGGGTGCGGCTTCTATTCGGGATGCGGCTTCTAATACAGATTTTACGGTATTATAAAGTAACATTTTCTTATCACAGATTGGCGGCTGCTGAGGCTGAATTGAATGCTACAATGGCAGTGTTGAAAGAGAAACAAGATAAACTTGCAGGTGTAGAAGCTAAGATTGCTGAACTGCAGGCACAGTATGAGGATAGTGTGGACGAGAAAGATAAACTACAAAAGAAGATGGCGCAAACATCTGGCCGACTAAAGAGAGCTGGAAAGTTAACCACTGCACTTGGGGATGAACAAATTAGATGGTCCATAAGTGTAAAGGTAAATAAATTGATTCACCAATAAATAGTTCTACCGTGGCAAACTGGTATCCTATTGTATCATAAACCATAGGATCAGCAGTTGACTATCAAATGATTTTTTTTTTTTTTTATAAATATTTTTTGTGCCAGGCGACAGTTTCGGACATTCAGTGTCACTGTTGTCTCTCCTGACTTTTTTTTTGTATGTGCAAATTCCATGTGCTAGTGACAACAGCTAGTGCATTTTGCCACAGAAGTCATATTCATGTTTGGGACTACATGACAGGGCTGTGTGGCCATCTCTCTGTCAAATAGCAATTTGTAATGCGCTATCCTGGCGTCAATCATTCGCATTCGTTAGTAAATGAATCTCGGCCAGTGGAATTGGCCTTCCCATTGAGTCTGTGGTACACTCACCCAAGGTAGGGGTCGACCCTTTTGATGTTCAGCCTGAGGTAAGATTTGAACTTGGGTCTACCGATCATGAGTCTGGTGCGACAACCACTATGCTATGCTATCAAATGATAGTGCATCACAATTTGATTGTCTATGAATAATGTAGACTGTAGACTGTGTTCAATCCTTGTAATGAGAATGTATCTAGTTGAACAATTAAAAAAACAAAAATGGCCAATTGACATCATCAAATAAAGTTGATCCATGTCGTGATTTGATACAAGTTGGCCAACTGGCAGTCATTTTGTTTTATAATTTTTCAGCTTGGATATATACTTACAACATTCAGTTCACACTATAGAACTGCATCATGTACTTGAGCATGTAATTGACCGTTCATATATGATTATAAGAAGCTGTGACATTCTCACTATCTTGTTGTGTAAATCCCACTACAAACATAACATGACTTGTTCTTTATTTACAGGACTTTGAAAAAGAAATAGGCGATGTGGTCGGAAATGTATTTGTGGCTGCTGCGTGCGTTGCATATTACGGTGCATTCACAAGTACATATCGTAATGAGTTAGTTGAGAGATGGACGGACCGATGCAAGGAACTTGAAATCCCCGTCAGTGATGACCTGAGCTTAATAAAAGTCTTAGCCGACCCATTTGAGATTAGGCAGTGGAATGCTGATGGTTTGCCTCGTGATACTGTGTCTACTGAGAATGCTATCTTAGTAACAAGAGGGAGAAGATGGCCCCTCATGATTGATCCACAAGATCAAGTAGGTTGATAATCTACATTAATAGCGTTCTGTCACCGACATTTGGTTTGTGCCAAACAGTTGAATTATTATTTCTCATATGAAACTTTGTTCTTTTGATCCTATGAAATTTGTTCAAATATTCTCTGTAAATAACTTAAAATAGTTAACTAACAATGATCAGAATTCTTGTCTTTTATACTATGGTTTTAATTCATCCTATTGTTCACAAAACCATGGTACAAGTTTAGGATCACTAAACTATATTTCACACAAGACACAGTCAGACATCCATAAAAATTAGGATTTTCTGAACCAATCACCATCGGTTAATATTGTATAAAGTTTGCACTATATAAAATTTGTTTGGTTGCGTATGATCAAAAAAAAATTGTTATGTAGTTATAAGATGGGTACTTATGATTGTCAATTATGATTAATATAATTTATTTTGTTGGTTTCCTATGGAAATTTTCTATGAATTGTTCATAAATGTTCTTTATGGCAAACAAACAAATATTTCATACTGGGAAAAACAAAACAAAACTTGTGATATCTTGTGTCAAAATCAATAATTTTGAAGCATAGTGATAAAAATGTTGCTCTTATTTTTTTGGTTGAATGTTCTTAAATAATGCTGATTGTACTGTATCTGTAGGCCAATCGTTGGATTCGGAATAGAGAGATGAAGAATGGTCTCAAGATCATCAAGTTGACAGATGCTAATTTCCTGAGAACTCTAGAGAATGCCATTCGTCTTGGTATGCCAGTACTGCTAGAAGAGTTAGCAGAAACCTTAGATCCATCTTTGGAACCAGTGCTTCTTAAACAAACATTTGTTTCTGTAAGTTTACAATATTTTCACTAACATTTAACTTCACTATTTGGTATTTTGTGCATATTCACTTGGTTTTGAGTTCGCAAATTAGCAGTGAAACAATGAGTTCAATTGTTATTTTACATGTTCACATAGATTTAATTTAGCAGATTTTACTTATTACCGAAATAGCAAAATTGTACCCAGTGAGTAATTAATGAATTTACAGTATACACATTATGTGAACTTATCATTAGTCTATACACTTTCAATGTTTTGAAGCATTATATGGATAGTGGTGTGTTGAAAGTGAACACACAAGCAATTAACCTTGTTGTATAATAGTTACAAACATCTGGTCACCCTTGAATTAGTTAATTATGTTAAAATTCAACTTACTGACGATACTGATAATATTTATTTTACTCACTAGGGTGGCCGATTGTTGATTCATCTTGGTGATAGTGATATAGATTACGACAAGAACTTTCATTTCTACATGACAACTAAACTATCTAATCCGCATTATCTGCCGGAGATTTGTATCAAAGTAACTATTATTAATTTTACTGTCACAAAGTCTGGTCTTGAAGATCAGTTATTGAGGTATGGATAACTTATATTAAAGTTTATTCTTTTATATCGTTGTTTGAATGCATTATCAGCTACTAGTAAGACTGCATCATAGCATGAATTTGAGGAGAAAGTTCACTTAGCTACTATTTGGAATATACTCACACATCTTTCTTTTGAAATCAAGTGTGTATGAATTAAGGGCTTAATAATACAAGCCAGGGATTGTATTAACCCTATATTCTGCTTTCAACAGGGACCTCATATAGAGCAAAAAGGGGTTGAATTTGTGTACAGAGTATATCGCTCCAGTTCATTTTCTTATCTGGACTCGCTACACGAAAATTTTAACACAATCCCTGGTACAAGCCCTCAAACCAGCTGTCTTTCATGTTTACTCTGCCAAGTATACTAAAATTGTCTGATTCTCATTTATGAACAGTGATGTTGTGCGTTTAGAAAGACCAGACTTGGAAGAGCAAAGGAATCAACTGATTGTTAGAATCAATGCTGACAAGAATCAACTCAAGGCCATTGAAGATCGTATATTGAGTTTATTATTCAATTCAGAAGGAAATATTTTAGATAATGAAGAACTGATCAATACATTGAATGAGTCTAAGGTAACAAATTGTCTGTCATCAACTCTCGTCCATCTGCATGCAAATTGTACAGAATCTATTCTATATCATATTTTCCACACTAGATTAATACTGTGCAGCAAATTATCAGTTTCCAGAAATAATGCTTAATTAAATGTACTATGAGTGTATTGAGAAATGACAGAACAGGTATCATGTAAACTTTCCATAAAATTGTTATGGTAAAGTTTAATTATTGTGTTTCACCTCTGCCTGTCTTTGTAAAGCATTAGAAATCAACTGTATTCAAAAGTAGATTTTCTCCTTTCTTGATAAATTCTGTGATTAGCCATGCTGTTACACATATCACTTTTCTAAATATTTGTTTGTACTCTTGCAGGTTACCTCCGGAGTTATACAGAAACGTCTAGCACAAGCAGAACAAACAGAAATGAAGATTACTGCGGCACGTGAGAAATATCGACCTGTTGCATCACGTGGTTCTGTTATGTACTTTGTTGTGGCATCATTAGCTGAGATTGATCCTATGTATCAATACTCACTCAAGTATTTCAAGCAACTGTTCAACAATACGATAGAAACTAGCGAAAAAAGTGATGATCTGCAGATCAGGTTAAAAACAGTTTTAGATCAAACTACTATTAATGTCTATTCCAATGTGGCACGTGGCTTATTTGAAGTTCACAAATTGGTCTTCTCATTTATGTTATGTGGAGATATCATGAGACTTGAAGAACGCATCAATGATAGCGAGTGGAATTATTTCCTAAGAGGTGCTGCTGCTGTTGAAAAGGTCAGTACAGCTTACAATGGCCAGCTTCTGACAACATTATGTTAATTTGTTAATCATTGATAAGATCTCAGTGACTTGAGTCGGAGTAGGCAGTTTTAAAATTCATGTTTCACACTTCTATGAAGTAATGGAAATCATAGAGCACAAATCCAAGTAGCTTAAATGTAGTTTAATTTACTGTAGAATTCACATAATTGTTCAAATAGCTTTTTAAGTTTGATTAGATTTTAGAAATTTCACAATATTTTTTTTTTTTGGTAGTCTCGTCCTCCTAAGCCAGAGGAAGAGTGGTGTTCGGAGTCTGTATGGTTTGCATGTTGTGATCTTCATGACACTTTACCAGCATTTAGAAACATCACCAAAGAACTTACAGCGACACCAGTCTGGTGTAAAGTTCGTGATCTAGAGGTACGTTATGATATATGGTAGATATGATTTGGTAATTGTTGTTCCAAATAACTATTCAAAATAGCTAGACTTTACTTTGGTAGGTTATGTAGATATAAGATCTACTGAAGAGGAGCCTATTGCTGAAAATATCTGTTTATTCTGTATAGTTAGAATAAAGATTATCATTGCATCCTTCTTATATATCATGTTTATTTACCCAAACTGCTTTAATCTAATGTATTTATATTTTAATTATGACCAGTTTTTGGGAGGATATTATCTGCCCTTGATTGCCTCTTTATTATCTGAGTATATAATTACATTTTATATTATCTTTTATATAATCGCTATAAAAATAACTATTCATCACATAAGACTTTTGATTTGTCATGAATCTTGAAACAATTCTTATCATACACTGCAAATTTTGATATACGTGTATGAAAGACATGACATTTTGTATTTGGATTGTTGTAGTGTTATTACAAGCTATTCTTGTTTTTACGAAGTGTTATCAATTATTCTGTAGGTGCGATTAAATCCACCTGAATGGGAGGGTTATGGACCAGAACCTGAGTATGTCCCACCTACAGCAGATGAAGAAGATGACGAACCCAAGCCAGATGACAATAAAATAAAAGGTCACTGGAATGAAAGATTGACCAATTTCCAAAAATTAATAATGATTAAATCATTCATGGAAGAGAAAGTAAGCAATCGTTTCAGAATGTTTTCTATTTATAATTTTGTTTTCTATAGATTTGTTTTTCTTATACCATGTGCTATATGGCCAGTTATGATACACTTTACTGCTTGTTAACTGAAAGTATGAAACCTGAACATATGCAAACTGAGCCAAACTCCACTACTTGTTAATTTTATTTTTATTTTATCCAAATAACAATAAAAACTCTTGAGTAAAAACTTGAAAACTAGGTTTGTGACAACCTAAATTTTGAAATCTGATAATAAGCCCCACACATTTTAATGCCTGTATACTCAGTATGTATACTATTTGCAGTGCAATTTTGACTGTTGGAATACTTGTGTACTCATTATGGCAGAAATATAATCTGTATCCTGTGTGAACTAAGATTTCAGATGTCATGTGTCAACTGAACTTCATGAGGTATCCTATTTTGTTCTTACCAGGTTGTATTTGCTGTGACTGACTTTGTTGAAGATAATCTTGGCAAAAGATTTATTGAGAACCCGCCAACAGACTTAGCCACTTTGTATGAAGACATGGCACCTAGCACACCATTGGTCTTTGTCTTGAGTACAGGTTCTGATCCCATGGGTGCTTTTCAAAGATTTGCACGAGACCGTGGATACCTGGAAAAAATCCTGGCTATTTCACTTGGACAAGGTCAAGGACCAGTGGCTGAAAAGTTGATTGCTGGAGCTATTAAAACTGGAGAGTGGGTTTTCTTACAGGCAAGTACTGGTAACTTTGAATAGATGACAGAGAAATAAACATTTACCGATGTGTCATACATGATTCATCTCTTTGTGATGGCTTATAGAAATGAAACAGACTCTTGATTGATATGGAAGATATTTATATTGTAATTTGCATTATTTACATGCAGAATTGTCACTTGGCAGCTTCCTGGATGTTGTCAATGGAAAATATGATCAAGGCCTTTGGAGAGCCCGGTGCCGAACTACATGAAGACTTCCGTCTGTTTCTTAGTTCCATGCCCACCAAATCTTTTCCAGTGACTGTCTTACAAAACAGTGTTAAAGTGACCAATGAACCTCCAAAAGGTCTGAGAGCAAACACCAGAAGGGCATTTACAGAAATAACAGCGCAGTACTTTGAAGAACACAGTAAGTATTCACCACTGCCATATTATTTTTATTAACAGTGTTTCTGAATCTAGATATTCTTCAGGATATACAGGAGTTTAGCTTCTGTCACTTGGCTGAACCTGTCAGAAACATGCTTTAGAACACGAATGTTTTAAATTAACCAATCAGAACCCTTTTTACATGTTTATCTGCACAATGAATGATATTGCCAGTATCTTGGCCGTGATTGGTTACTTGTTGTCTATAGATACTGAACAGATGAATTCTTACTATGTGATAAATACTGCATGTGTAGTTATATTTTTTGTGATTTTTTTTATAGTTCTTGGAGTACAGTGGAGGAAAATGATCTTTGGTCTTTGTTTCTTCCATGCCATCATACAAGAAAGAAAGAAATTTGGTCCACTAGGTTGGAACATCAAGGTAAAATTCTCATCAGTTCCACTTGGATCACAACCAGTTGTAAACTGTCAACTTTCAATGTGCAGTTATAGTAAAGTTCTTATGATATTGTTATTTTCTTGCATTGCAGTATGAATTTAATGACAGTGATCGTGAGTGTGCTTTAGAGAATCTTAAGATGTTCTGTGCTGATGGAGAAATACCCTGGGATGCGTTGATGTATATCACTGGAGAGGTGAGTTTCTAAGTTGTTAAACACCAAATTTTATGTATCCAAATGAGGATAGTTTTATCTGAGCTATGCCATGACCGAGTCAAATTCCATCTTACCCCTGAACTTACGTTTACAGTCGGGTTTCCTGAAGGTATTCCTATGAAGAAATGCCAAATGAATTGCATTTGAATATTTATTGTTGTTGTAAATTCATTCTTTAGATCACCTATGGTGGGCGTGTCACGGATGAATGGGATCAAAGATGTCTAAGGACAATCCTCAAAAGATTCTTTGCTCCTAATACACTGGATGAAGACTATAAATATTCAGATTCCGGTAAGATGCAATACATTTTACAGTAAACCTTAGATGTAAATAGCCACCAACACCTCTTGAGAGCAAGAGGACCACATCTTTTGTTTTCACCCCCCCCCCCAAATAAGTTTGTATTCTCTCCCATCATGTAAACTTTTTAAAATACATCAGTTATTTAGCAGTAAAACAGTGGACATAATCGATAAAAGAGAATGAAACACTGTTAATATGAGGGCAAAAACAAGTCACATGGTTCTTTCACTTATAACAAATTCTTGGTGGTTTATTCTGACTTTTTCTTTCGACGTGTGTTCAGAACTTTTACTGTTCTACTAAATGTTAATTGTTTGAAACTCATAAAAATCTATTTTTATCCTAAGCATTGAAAAATGAATAAATATATATTGGATTTGTTTGTTTTTCAGGTGTTTATTACTGTCCAGAATATGACACAATACAAGAATTCCGTCAGTACATAGAAGGTCTGCCTATCATAGATCAACCTGAAATTTTTGGAATGCATCAAAATGCAAACATAGCTTTCCAGGTAAGAACTACCACACACTGTAAATGTGAAGCTGATGATTTATAAAACCACCGCTGAATATAGTACCTGTGTTGTATATTCAAGCAAAGTGTGAAACTACTCTGCTGGTGATCACATACTGTAAATGCATTAATTATTCACTGGGTTTTAATTTGCTATATCAAATCTATATGAATATGAAAAATAAAAAATAAATTAATTTTTTTGTGACAAATTCATGAAAATTAAAAGATAGTGAATATGCTCAAAATATCAAAATAGTGAAATTAAATGTCAGTGAAAATAAATGGTTTTATAGCATACCGGTATGCAAAAGTTTAGTTTTTGGCTTGCTTATAATGAAGTGATGGGTCAATACATTTGTGATATGATTTTGCTGTTGCGTACTTGATATACAATTTTTATGTGATATACTTCAGTCATGTTACAAAGTGTGTAAATTAATAATTTCTTTCTTTCAGACTCAAGAAACCAATGCTCTTATTAATACAATCTTGGATGTCCAACCTCGTATGGCAACTTCAGGTGGTGGCATGACCAATGATGACATTGTTAATGAATTAGCTACAAGTATTTTAGAGAAATTCCCTGAAAAACTGGACATTGAAGAAGCCAATCAAGAAATGTTCAAGGTAAGTTGCTGTTGCTTCTTCAGATGTTGACATCTTTTCTATAAATTCCTCTCATAATATGATCTAATTAGTTATGGCTGTCAACAGAAAAAAATGTATTCTGATTTTATCATCAGTCTTACAGTTTTTAATATTCCCTCTGTTGTATTGTTTTAAAATTTGTTGCTATACTTGTTAGTTGCCATGTGTTTCATATTTGTTGTCTTCATTACAGCCTGATGCCAAGGGTCGAGCCAATTCCCTGGCAACAGTACTTATTCAAGAAGTAGAAAGATTCAACAAACTACTTCGGGTTATCAAGGTAAGTGAAAACATTTTAGACATTTGTTCATAACTTACAAATGAGGACACAAAATATGTGACCATTCTTTTTGCAGTGTAACAACATGTGTCATATTTGCTTGCTTTGTGTTTTTGTAACATTGCATTGTTTCTTATATTTATAGACCTCACTACGAACGATCATAAAAGCTATCAAAGGTTTAGTGGTAATGTCTGAACAATTAGAGAGTGTCTACAACAGTTTTCTCAACAACCATGTGCCAGATATGTGGGCAAATGCTGCGTACCCTTCACTGAAACCACTGGGTGGATGGGTCAAAGATTTAGTCCTCAGAATTGGCTTCATTCATGTAAGTTTTACATTATGTGATATCAGTCGAATGATCTATTGAATTCAAAGAAACTATATTGACAAACTATTGGTAGGAATGAGTGGGTGGTGGATCAGTTTTGGCCTATGGAAAACAAAACATCTTTTGATTTAATATCCTACAAATATTACCAAAATAAATAAATTGTTGTCTATTTTTACAGCATTGGATTACACATGGTTTACCCAAATCCTTCTGGTTGTCCGGTTTCTACTTCCCACAAGGTAAAATATCAATATCATTACATCTATTGATGAAATCCAAAACAAGATTTAAAATATTCTGAATGATAAGCAAATAAATTTGAATCTTATAAATATGTAGTGTTTTGTCTAATTTAGTTGTATGGTTTTTACATAAGTTATATGAATTTTAAATTGATCACATGAATGAAACATTATGTCTTTTTTATGTAGGTTTCTTGACTGGCACTCTGCAGAATCATGCTCGTAAATATGACCAACCAATTGATGCATTAAGTTTCAAATTCAATATGTTGACACAGTACCGAGACCAAGGTGAGGTGGCTTTGCAACAAGAACACCTGGCATTTGGTGAAACCGCAGATGTTGACAAACAGGTAAATTACACTATGATAGCATTTCTTGTACATTTTCATCATTACCCTTTGTTACCATTCAACTTAATATTTAATTTCAGCTTATTAAAAAGTAGTATTACATTTTTATAGCACAGTTTATGAGCCAGGCAGGTCACAATAAAGGCCTTTGCCTAGGCTGACTTGTTTTGAGTTCTTCAAAATAATTATTTCTGATTTCGGATCAGTTTTTTCCTGCACATAGGTCTACAAGTTTCAATGTTTCAACTATTCCATTTTCATGAGGCACAAAAGTTAATGTATACTTTGTTATCACGTATCTTCAACAACATCCATCATTTTTACTGATTGTACCATTCATACAATCCATCTCATAATCTAAACACCAATATTCCCTGCTCTGTTTTATAGTTTATCCATTTTCTATATATATTAAGTGGCTTTCATTTACGGAACCTGAATCAGAAATGCTGAAGTTTTGTAGATACATTTTTAATTTTCAATTGAAATATTTCAGTTATTTTTTGGACATTCCTTATTTATGATCGCCTGTTTCACCTCAGTAGCATATGTTTTTCTCTGCTGTCCATACCAAGATTATGTCAGTATTGCCGTATATATATATAGATATTGTAAATTTCTATTTCTTAGGGTGAGGAAAAGAAAGCGAAAAAGTCAGACAGCAGTGAGGTTGTTAGCTGTATGTGTAGGTTTATATTACCAGAAAATGATGTAAGTAGTAGGGCT